TCAGAATGCAGAATACCAGCCTGGGTTTATAAATCTATTCGATACCTCCCGGGAACACTTAGAAACTTGACGCTCTATGCTTATGCTCTTATTAGTCCATTAGTTTTGTCAAGTTTGATTGATTCTTTACTGCACTGCGGCGTCTTTGAAGTTTTGGTTAGGTAGAATATAATACTGAAATAATGTAGTGTATTTCCTTGAATAAGGGCCTAGGCATTTATTGCTTAACAGAGGCAAAAATCACCAAAAATAAAATTAAAAAGTGCCAAAACATGGGGTCGAACCTGCGACTTTATGTTCTGAAGACTGCAGATGAGCAAATAGGCCATTTGGGGCCACTTTAACCATAAATTAATAAATACTGGGATATATATGCGTATCTATAGTGGTAATATATTAATGATAGGCGCTTATTTGAGTAGGGCCCCTATTTGAGGAAATTATAGGATATAATATTAATATTAATACATAATATTAGGGAGAGTATCCAATGCACCTATAGTACCTATAGTAGTACAATACAACAAAATACCGTAATTTGCCTTTTTTTCGTACAAAAATTTTTTGTTTCAGAAAAATTCAAGTGGAAATATTTTCGTCTTCTCATAGTGTACGAAAATTTTTACAGTCTGAAAATTTAGCTTCTCTTGCATACACCTTGTCCTTTACCTGCTGGTAATAAGGCCGCTATAGTAGTATTTACAGTTCTTGAGATAAGATATTCTTGACCTGGCTGTTCCCTGACATTACTAGTATACGGATAGTACTGGAGATGCAGCAATCACCAATTTATGGATAATAAACAGAAACATTAAATGGCTACTTTTGTCACATGGTGGACCATTTTATTTTATAACTCAGTAGTGAAGCAACTGATTGAAGTACAGCAAGCACCAGTGGATAGAGCAAGGTTAGAGCTGCAAGAAGATACCTACTCATCAGGCCATACCTTAGTCTTTCTTTGATGAATTAGGTCACAAATTTTAGTTGCTCAAAAATTTTTGATTGAAATATTTTCGTCATTTTAAGACCATACGAAAATATTTCCACAACAAAAAAAGGCAAATTACAGTAATACAACTTACTATTATACTATGTGTCATACTGAATATGTAAACACTGTTAGTAGCTGTATTCACATCATCATTAACAGTCACTCGTCCTCCAAACATTACTCCTCTGTTACCGGTAGTAGTAATCTTCTCAATTATGAAACTACTAGTTGGTGGACAACACTGTCCACTGACAGATGGAACAGTGAATTGTCCTAAAGTAAAGAGAATACAGTGAACATCTACCAATACATCTTACGGTTGTTACCTATTATATTACAATAATTATACATGTAATTAATATACACATGTACAGTAATTATGAATTTGAAGTACATGTACATGCAATTTTTATCAAAAGTAAATCAATGTATACATGTAAATGTATAAAGCTATTTATTAATATGAAGAGAATCTTACCAGTGGACACAATATAAAGTAACTGTTCATTAGTACGAACGCCGCCATCATCAAGTTGATCATATTGAAACTGAGGATGGTAAACAGTTGGTGTAGAACCTCTCCCTCCTATTATGACAAGGTATTCTGCTCCATCAAATTCCACTGATATCATTCCACCATAGCCTTTCTTCATCAAAGACTGTTCAGCATTACTGCATGAAGTCCACTCCATCTTTATCGTATTCAGTACATTCAACGTATTGTGGTAACAGTCATCATGAC